TTTTTCCTATAAAATTTTGCAAATAAATAATCTTTATTCATAAATCTTGGCCAAATTGTATTCATCTATCTTTTTAGTAAAAAAAATAATAACCCAACTTAGGTTATAACCAAAATTATAATTTTTCAAATTTTTGTTTTACATTTTTTTTTTTTTTTTTTATATATTTTTTTAGCATACTGTCACCCTAGCACTACTTGTGGGGGGTGATGAAGATTATTTTTTCTTTTTTTTTTTACACTGATTGCTTTTACACCCATAGAGGCTGTAAAAGCAATATTTTCCCCTTCTCTCTGGCTGCATTCCTGCAGCAATTGAGAAATACTGTGCGAGCCGTGATTGGTCACAGCTTGTTACATAGTACAAGGCTGTTGTGAATAGCCTTGTACCATGTAACCTCTGTGATCATTTACAGATTTCACAAGTAGAAAATAATGATGTCAGGAAGTGCCATCTTGTTTACTGCTATTCATGTGATCACTGATTAGCCAATTAGTGATCACATGAATTGGGACCTCACGCAGAGGTCCCTTACAGAGATCTGTGTCGGGAGCGCACACAGGCATTGGATGCGGGGGGCGTTTAGAAATGTCCACCCACAGCAGCAGCGCTCCTGTCTGGCTGTTTATCGACATGGGCCGAATGGGAAGAGGTTAAGAGGGGTGTAAAATTGCTATCTGTGTGTATGCACGTGAGGCTGAATTTAGGAAAGCTGGCCTCATGCTACTTCTATGGCATAGGGACATCACTCTGGAGGAGCAGGATGATGTTCACTTTCTAAAACAGGTGTGTCAAACTGGCGGCCCTCTAGCTGTTGCGGAAACTATAAGTCCCATCATGCCTTTGCCTTTGAGGTGTATGCTTTGTAACTGTCAATCCTTCAATACCTCATTGGACTTGTAGTTTGGCAACAACCGGAGGGCCGACAGTTTGACACCCGTGTTCTAAAGGTAGTCTTATCTGAACATAATCTCCTCTGCTGGCCAGCAAAATGCAGTGAGTAATCAACTGTGCTGGAGTAAAGTGAATTTGGGGCTGTATACTTTTAAAGTTTCTTTTAAAAAATGCATTGTTCTGTTTAATTGCAGGACAGAAACTCAAGGCAATACATTTTGTCCCACACTATTAATGCCCCCAATGGTACAGCATGGTCAAAATGCTGTATGCAATATTCTCATCAGTGATTAACAACAAACCATGAACATAAAATTGTAGCTCAGTACACCCTTTCAAACTCAGCAGGTTGGGGGGCTTAGCAGAAGTTGAAATAGCTTGCAAAGCTGCCAAGAGTAGCAATCTGGAAACTCTGGCATTTTGCCAGAAATGTTGTAATACTGCAACAGGCCACATTTTATTAAAGCAGCATTTTAATACCAAAATGTACAGTGGCCTGAACACATTTTTGTAGGCTATGATTTTGCTTGCAAATAGCTTTATACTTAAATAAGCTAATACTGATGCCAATACAGTGCAACAAATGCATAAATCCATAGCAGCTAGCATATTTATGACCTGCACACAAACTAATGGTAAACTCTAAGCGGATATAAAAACAAGCATCAAATGAATGCAACTGTGTATTTAATACAAAATGTTAATAAATATTTATAAATTTACATGCCAACACACATTTTGGTGCCTTAAATGTAACACCTGTTCCTGGCTACATTTGAACCACTGATTCCAAACCTGGCACAGTTTTATCCCTATCAGCTTTGGTTTTTGAAATACAGTAAAAATGCCATATACCTCTCTTCATTCTGGTCACTCATCAAAAATCAGGATATATTAATGTAGTGTTTTATTTAATCTCCTTGTAACATGAAAGAAATACATAAAAAGGTAGCCATAACCTTTATGGTGCTTGAGCTGCAAAAATCAAATGATATGAGTGGCAATATAGACACAGCTCCTATACAATCATTACTGTAATACAGTTAATAACTAAAACGTAAGCATCCAATGTTTACAATTAAATATTACAGTTGGGAGTACGTAAACACTCACACTATGGGGTTGATTTGCTAAATGCAAATAGACTGCACATTTTGCAAGTGCAGTTGCTCCAGAACTTAGTAAATGAAGTAAAGCTCCACTTTGCAAAGTATACCCAATCATGTGCAAGGAAAATAACAAAAACAGAATTTTGCACTTGTACCTGATTGGATAATGGAAGTTAGCAGAGATTCTGCTCATTTACTAAGCTCTAGAGAAACTGCATTTATCTTTAGTAAATCAACCCCTATATCTGCTAACTTGTTCACAAAAACACAAATTAGGTAACAGAAGAACAAGTTGATCAGCCAGATCTTTTCAAAAACTGACTAAAAAAAATTTATATAAATTCAACCATACCTACAAAATTAGAGCTGATGCAGTCTAGCCCAGTGTTTCTCAAGTTTTTTTCAGTCAAGGCACCCTTTACAATTATGGACAGTCCCCAAGGCACCCTTTAAAATGATGGACAGTCATTCTAAAATGGGGTGCCTCAAGACTCTCCATAATTTTAAAAGGGCACCCCATTTAAAATGTGAAAAACTATTCTAATAGTTTTTTATAACACATCCACATCCACACATGTAGGACACCCAATGTTATAGAGGTGATTTACTCTTCCAAAGCCAATACATTTTTGCACATTGGTACTGACTAGTATTCCAATGTTTCTCTTCTCCCTCACTGAGCTAATGTGACCCCAGCACTGACAGAGAGAGGCAGGGAGGGTCAAACTAGGATGGTGTGCAGGCAGCTGACATCCTCCTTATCAACTGATGATGTCATTGGATGTCAGGAAGCCGGCGGCTAGAAGGTCGTAATGGTGCACAATGCAAACCTGTGGCTTTGTGTAACTAGAAGGCAGACTTGTTCTACACGCTGGTTTGTATAAACGTTTTGGGCAATTTTTAGACATTTTTGCTTAGGCACCCCTGAAGAAACCTCAAGGCACCCTGATTGAGAAAGGCTGGTCTAGCCAATGCCAGCTTTCGAATCATTGCAGATAACTCCAAGAACAGGTCTAAAAAGCAAGGCACAAAAAAAAAGATTTTTTATTTTGGGTTGTGAGTTAATAAATATTTTTTCTGTTTTTGTTTTTTACATTTACTACTGTGATTACCTAAGTTTGCATTCATATAAGTAAAGAAGGAGGTGCAGTCAATCTGGAATGCTACATGCTGACTGACGGTGAGAGCAGAATGTGCAGTGGGATTACCTCATTAGTTTACATAGGGCACATGCATGATGAAGGAATCCTGCGAGACTCCAAAACATTTTTCTTGCTGTAACTATGTAAACCTTCATTAAAGCCTTTTCGGACCCGCATTGGAGATCCTTGGTATGCTGGTGACATTTCTTTACGACTCTGCTCAGTTCCAGCTGATGGTCGCTGCAGCACCCACCTATGCATACAGCCATTTCTTGCAGGAAAGTGTGCGTTGGGATTGTGCATTAACCTCATTAGTTTGTCACTGGTCCTTCACTAACTGAGAAAGTGTTATCCACTTGGCTGTATGAGGAGGCTGTGTAATTCTCAGGACTGAACAAAAAAATCTGCAATCCTTTGGCAAGTAAATTAGTTCCCAAATAAGTATTCTCACATTGTCACATCCTCACAGCTGAACTCCAATTATATTTATTGCATGTATACATTGGTCCAGCTTGAGCCAATGTAAGTATGCACATCTCATACCTAAGGCGCTGCTGGGAGAGCTGACATTCACTGTTATAGTCAGTGCTACTGCAGTGATAGCTGAGGTCTGCTGGGTCCTGTACCGGACAGTTTTTTCTCTCCAGAGTAACCATAGGAGTTTTCTCGCTCAACGCTGCCCCCATTCACAGAATGCTTTGTATTTCTTTTTCAATGAGTACAAAGCATTTTCTGATTGGATGGGTTGCAGAGAAGAGGTGGTGATGTCACAATCTCTACACTGTCCGATTAGAGAATGACTCCTATTCATTAAAAAAAACATAAGAAGTTCTGTGAATGGTGAAAGTGTTGAGCAAGCAAAATTCTTTAGTCATTGTGCAGAGGGGAAGCCACTTGGCACAGAACCCAGAAGAACCCAGAAAATTGTGGCTATCACTGTAGTCATCATGGCAACTACTACAGCAATTTCCAGGTTCCTCAGTGGCCCCCACAAGGTATGAGATGTGCATACTGACATTGATCCAAGCTGGACCAATGTCAATAGGCAGTAATGATAATACCTGAAGTTCAGCTTTAAGGCTTATGTGCTTCATATGCCAAAGGTACTATTTAGTATAAAGTTGGAGCCGTACTAAATTCAATGTTGATGTGAACTACAGCTTTGGGTCATAGAAGATATATATATAGCTTTTTTACAATCAGATTGTATGCACACATAAAGCTAAATCAAATACCATTTATTTTCAAAAAGTTATGTGATTAGTTTTACATATTTGCAACAGATATTACTTGAGGTGATTGTAGCCGTATTAGTGCATTTGCAACAGAAACAATTGAGTACTGTCCATGATACTTTTTTTATTTGCACTAACATACAATTTAGAGGACAAGCTTTTGGGGAATGTCCCCTTCTTCAGGTCTAAGCAGTACTGAAAACAAATATTTATAGCAGAATGTTGTAAGAGATGTAGGGGATGGGAGAAAAAAAAAAAAGAGATAAGATACAGCAAAAGCAAAGTCTGGGGGGGGGGGGGGGAGTGTTGTCTCCCCCCCCCCCAGACTTTGCTTTTGCTGTATCTTATCTCTGTTTTTTTTCTTTTCTCCCATCCCCTACATCTCTTACAACATTCGGCTAAATCTTTTTTTTCAGTACTGCTTAGACCTGAAGAAGGGGACATTCCCCGAAAGCTTGTCCTCTAAATTGTATGTTAGTGGAAATAAAAAAAAGTATCACAGACAGTACTCAATTGTTCCTGCCAACAGATATTAGAAATTCATCTCTGTTTTCATTTCTTTATATAATGTAAAATACTGATACCCTTTAGCTATTCTATCAATAGTAAAATATTTCCTAAGCTACACCATTAGAGGCTGTTGGAGTTAATTATATGCATTAATATGACAAAAATATGTCTTTGCATTGCTAATGAGATTGATGTTCTAAAATCAAGTTTTCTTTTGAAATGTAAGCCTGCCAGAAAATAGGGCTTCAGCAGAGCAAAATTCTAGCACCACAGATGGACAACACTTGTACTTGTTAATCTGAATCCGTATAAAAAGTGGGGATGACAAATGAGTCATAAAATGAGATGTGAAGTGTGATATTGAGAACTAATACAGAATTCCAGACGTCATGCTGAGAAGCAAGAGCACAGTAAAGGATACATTTTCCTAAAGGATACAAGATTTCAGCACGTGTTCATGTGTCTTTAGGTTATAGTCACCTTTGTCAGGGAACAAAGGATAGGAAACAGACCTAGCATTAATTACAAAGTCTTTTGTATCATTTTATTCATTTAAGGGCCAGTTCCTGCCAGCAGATGCTCTTTAACAATTTAAAGCTGATATCCATGTTGATAAAACAAACATACCCTTATGTAAATATTATATATTTTTAAATCATTGCCTGTGATTTTCTATACAGCTGAAACATATCCATTTTTGTGTTTTAACTCTAATATGGTGTACTTACCTGCACAGTGGGTGGAAAGGCTTGGCCATTACTAGGATCCAATCAGGCTGTGGGGCCTGGGGTCTTGTTGGTGGCAGAAGAGAACAGAGTGACAGAGTGATTACATCATCTGTTTGGTGATGTTCCTTTATTGTCCAGCCTGCTAACTTGGAATGGGTTTTTAAACCAAGTTGTTCTACAGTAAAGGAAAATGGTGGCAATGACTTTATATTCTTTGCCCGATGTGCCTGGGGCAAGAGATTAATATAATTACAAATCCTTTGGCATCTAAGGCAGGTAAATAATATATATTTCAGATATTTAATTAGCTAAATATCCAGATTTGCAATTAAAAGGACTTAATGTGGAAAAATTAAGAGTGCATAAGTCGCATTTTTAAGTGGTATTGTGAAATCTGAGTGTGTAATGTCTCATGCCAATATTTGTATACTGGTTCATCAACTTTATTTGACATTATAACAGCTAAATCAGAATATTTGTTATTCTTCACTGGCATGTCTTGCTTTTGTTTCCCTCAGGTTCCAAGACAAAAGAAGGTGTTGTACATGGAGTTACAACAGGTACAGAAAAAAACTTCTGTTTCTATGTTCCTCTTGACGATAACATGCATGACAATAACAAAATGGTGGCAATGATTTAACTAATATAAGTTAAATTGCACATTTAAAAAGTCGCTCTAAAACCAAAGCAGTTTTTATTGCTTTATTTAAATAATAATCTCACTCTAGAATACATATTGTGCCCCATTATATAATCCACAATGAAGACATTTTGATTTAGTCATTTTATGGACAAAAAGAATTGCTTGTAATGTCATGTGCCAATGTAAATATCCTTATTAGTGGACTTTTCTTGTTTAAAAGCGAGATGCATATTATATTGCACTTTGCATCTTACCCCCAGACAGGCATGACTTTTGTCAACAGTATGGCATAAGACTTGTAATTTACTAATATGCTATAGTGAAAATAATTATAGAGTTGCTATCCATGACAGCTTGAGCTATTTTCCAGCATAACTGACATCATCTTATAATTATTTTCCTGGGATTTTGAGTCAAAAAGTATACTGCACTCCATGGTACATTCTGCAGCTAACATTAAACCACTTTTTTATCAATAGAAAATAGACAAAGAGCAACTGTATAGATTATGCTAGTCTCATAACCTCTTCCTCAGAAACCATATGATTCATGCTGTATCAGTCATTGCAAACTGTAAAAAATAATATCATTATAACATTTATTTCATCCCAAAGTAAAAATTAATTTTAATAGAATGGAATTTATAAGGTTTAGGTTGTTCATAGGTTAAAGGTGCTTTGCCTTTGCATCGTATATTTGACCCAGAGTAATGATGGCCACATTAATCAAATTGTTATTGGTTGCTGCCCTTTTCACTTTGCCTTACTGATTAAACTTAGTACTGTGGTGATAGTATACTTCATATTCTACATTTCAAGGTCAAAATGCTTGAACTTTAATTTTCTATTATTACCAGTGGCTGAGAAAACCAAAGAACAAGTTTCTCATGTGGGTGGAGCAGTAGTTACAGGAGTGACTGCAGTAGCACAGAAAACAGTAGAGGGTGCTGGAAACATTGCTGCTGCAACAGGACTGGTGAAAAAGGATCAGTTTGGGTAAACAGGTATGTACAGTCTAACTGTGGTTCAGCTGTTGCAAGATCTAAGCCTCTAAGTGATATACCTTCATTTTCTTCATATTAAATATGCTAAAATATCTTTTTATTGGTTCCCTGGTAAACCCCAATCCAACACCCAAGCTAAACAGCTTATGCATTTACCGTTAGCTTAATTTTATTTATTAAATGTGAACTCCAATTTTGTTGAGCAGAAAACTCGTCTAGGTCAACAATATATTACAAGGATAAATACACAAAAATTTCTCCCAGCACACTTATGAGCTAGTTAGCAAAAAACAAAAAAAATTACATTGTCTAATAGTTTTCATTAAAGAAGACATAAATAAGTATACAGTATAAAACAATGGATAAATTGAGAGCAGGCATATTACAAGGCATTTGTCAAGTTTTTTTTTTCTATAGTCATTCATTTAGGCCATGAAAGAGTTTACTGAAAGTAATATATTTATGGAATAACCTTTGCAAATGGGAGAATACTATTAGAAGTTGTTAGTGTAACATGGATTGTTTTAACAAATGAAAGTTATACACAACCTAAAATTGACAACTAAAGAAGAAAAAAATGTGGGGAACATAAAGGTATTTTACATTTTGAGAAATGTCTTAGTGTCATTGCAATAATATTCTTCAATAAAATTTGATTAACAGTAAGCCCCCGTTCGCATATGGGTGATTTGGAATCATGGGCAGAATCATCACTATTCTGCCCACGTTTCCAAAGCACTACAACACGTGTTTGGGTGCCATTCATCTTGAATGGCACCCCAAAATACAGTGTGATTGCCAAGCGACAAAATGTAGGAGAATCGCGGCAAAAGGCAAGTGCACAAAATTTGGTCTTTGAGCTTCTTTGGAGTGACAATCACATATAGGGGGATTGCCTATGTGCGGCATGTGTTTCCACGTGAGATTTACTCCAATAAAATCACGAGCTGGAACACAAGGTCCTGTTATGCATAATGTGAACTAGGCCTATAAATTTTGATAAACAGGGAGATTTCACAATTTGTAATAATGTGCTATTGAGGTTCTAAAAAAACATGCAGATTGTTTTAATCTCTTAGTGGCATTGCTGGGGTCCTAGCAGATATGAGATACCCCAGTGCATAATAGTATTTCATGATGTGTAGATGGAAAATTCTGGATTATGACAAAAAATAAAGAAGGCCCAATATTGTAAACCTAGGAAAAAGAACCATGTATATGGTATATATATATATATATATATATACAGTGGGGATCGAAAGTTTGGGCACCCCAGCTAAAAATTTGTATTAATGTGCATAAAGAAGCCAAGGAAAGATGGAAAAATCTCCAAAAGGCATCAAATTACAGATTAGACATTCTTATAATATGTCAACAAAAGTTAGATTTTATTTCCATCATTTACACTTTCAAAATAACAGAAAAAAAAAAAATGGCGTCTGCAAAAGTTTGGGCACCCTGCACAATTTATAGCATGAACTGCCCCCTTTGCAAAGCTGAGACCTACCAGTGTCATGGATTGTTCTCAATCATCGTCTGGGAAGACCAGGTGATGTCAAGCTCAAAGGTTTTAAATGCCCAGACTCATCTGACCTTGCCCCAACAATCAGCACCATGGGTTCTTCTAAGCAGTTGTCTAGAAAACTGAAACTGAAAATAGTTGACGCTCACAAAGCTGGAGAAGGCTATAAGAAGATTGCAAAGCGTTTTCAGATGTCAATATCCTCTGTTCGGAATATAATTAAGAAATGGCAGTCATCAGGAACAGTGATCTTAAAGCAAGATCTGGAAGACCAAGAAAAATATCAGACAGAACAGCTCGCAGGATTGTGAGAAAAACAATTCAAAACCCACGTTTGACTGCACGATCCCTCCAGAAAGATCTGGCAGACACTGGAGTTGTGGTACACTATTCCACTATAAAGAGATACTTGTACAAATATGGTCTTCAAGGAAGAGTCATCAGATGAAAACCTCTTCTACGTCCTCACCACAAAAATCATCGTTTGAACTTTGCAAATGAACATATAGACAAGCCTGATGCATTTTGGGAACAAGTTCTGTGGACCGATGAGGTTAAAATTGAACTTTTTGGCCGGAATGAGCAAAGGTATATTTGGAGAAGAAGAGGGGCACAGAATTTTATGAAAAGAACCTTTGTCCAACTGTTAAGCATGGGGTTGGATCAATCATGCTTTGGGGTTGTGTTGCAGCCAGTGGCACAGGGAACATCTCACGAGTAGAAGGAAAAATGGATTCAATAAAATTTCAGCAAATTTTGGATGGTAACTTGATGCCATCTGTGAAAAAGCTGAAGTTAAAGAGAGGATGGCTTCTACAAATGGATAATGATCCTAAACACACCTTGAAATCCACGGGGGATTACATCAAGAGGCATAAACTGAAGGTTTTGCCATGGCCTTCACAATCTCCTGACCTCAATATAATTGAAAATCTATGGATAGACCTTAAAAGAGCAGTGCGTGACAGACAGCCCAGAAATCTCAAAGAACTGGAAGACTTTTGTAAGGAAGAATGGGCAAAGATACCTCAAACAAGAATTGAAAGACTCTTGGCTGGCTACAAAAAGCGTTTACAAGCTGTGATACTTGCCAAAGGGGCAGTACAAGATATTAACTCTGCAGTGGGCCCAAACTTTTGCAGACTCCATTTTTTTGTTTTCTGCTATTTTGAAAGTGTAAATGATGGAAATAAAATCTAACTTTTGTTGACATATTATAAGAATGTCTAATCTGTAATTTGATGCCTTTTGGAGATTTTTCCATCTTTCCTTGGCTTCTTTATGCACATTAATACAAATTTTTAGCTGGGGTGCCCAAACTTTCGATCCCCACTGTATATATATGAGACAAACAGACAAATGTTTGTGGACACCTTTCTTCACACTCATCTATAAAAGTACATGGACACCCCTCCAAATTATTGCGTTTAGGTGTTTCAATGAAGGGTACTGTTAATGCTAAAGAATACATATACATTTTAGACAACTGTGCACCTCCAACCTTGTGTCAACAGTTTTGGAAATGCCCTTTTCTATGTCCAGCATTACCTTGTCCTGTCCCAATGGATAGGATTAAAGTGAAAAAATTAGAGTCCTGCAGAAAGTCCTGACCTCAACCCAAATGAACACCTCTGGGAGGATTTGGAACATGATTTGAGGGCCAAGTCGTCTTTTCTAACACCATTACCTGACTTCACAAATGCTGTTTTTGCTGAGCTGACACACATTCCCACAGATACACTGCAAAATATTGTGGAAAGCCTTATTGTTAGAGTGGAGGCTGTTACAGAAACCAAAAGAGAGGGATCCATATTAATGTCTGAGGCTTTGGATTAGAATGGCCAACATATGGAGCTTCTTGGAGTCATGAACTGTAGTGTTGCACTGGAATTTAGGACCAGCCTATCTACCCTACACTTTAGTCCATCCCTAGTGGTTTCTAAAAATAACAAGAGCAGTATATAAACTCTATTGCAATAAACAGTTTCACTTACTAATATATATTGAGGAGATCACTACATACGTACAGTAGCACAGACTATCAAGTATTGTGCATGTGGAATAATAACAAAGACAGGGCAGAGATACTCTGTCTGTCACAAGGATGTAATATACACTCAGCAGCTGCAGTTAAACTAATATACTGTAGGAATACTTGCATAACAGTCTCTTCTAGTCTGGGTGAAGATACAACAGCAACTCCATTGATAGTACATGTGGCACAGGTCTCTCTGTCTACTTCCTGGAAACTGCACTTTATAAAGATATTGAAGTCCTCCAATCTGGGGTTTCTGACCCAGCCAGCAGGGAAGGGGTTTACATAAATATTAATGACAGTAAGAAGCACAGCCACTTTCAATTACAGGCAGTAGAGGGCAGCAAATCCCTACAATACACTGGATGTTTCTTTAAAAATGCAGATTTCTGAGATCCCCTTAAAGTTAGAAACTGAAAATTATGTAAACACATGAAAATGTAGAAGAGTTTAGAGCTCAGTCAAATTTAACATGAAAGGGTAAGCACACTATTGTCAAAAACATCACTTTCTAAAACTGAGAATCTCAAACGCTTTCACTTTTTGTTCATGTGATTTGCTCAGAGCTTTTTTCAGCAGTTTTTCTCTCAACACTACAACACTATGACTGATTGTGTGACTACAGTATAACTGGCATACCGTCCCACTTGACTGGCATATCCTCCCAACTGAGGATTTGTGAGTATAAAGCATATAATTCGAAAACACTCTCACCATATATTCATTTCTGCCAGTGGTTCAATCATCAGTACAAATGGAATAGAGGACATCCTTATTTAGTTCCACAATAAGTACATGAATGCAAACAGCTTAGAGCATAGTAAGTAAGGGTTTGAAATACATAGTGATGTTGAAATGAAGAATTTGCAGGACCTTTACCACTGCAGTAAAGCGACAAGGCCTGAAAAGTATCAGTGAAATCCCAAGGCTAGCTGTATACATCAAGACAGTATGAAAATGGTATTATAGTCTCTATTGTTTTAGTATCAACATGTCAATTTTCATTAGCTTAGCACAGTAAAAAAAAAAAAAAAAGATTTTTTTCTAAACACTTCATGAAAAGTCACTTTTTTGCCATTATTTCCCTGTATCGTTTGACTTCCTGTGCCTAATTTTCCTGTAGGGGAGTATGCACTAATAATGTAATTACCATTCACCATTCTCAATTCATTGAGAATTCATGCCCAGTGTCAGCGCATATGCATACCCTGTCATTCAGAAAATGTTGCTGATCTGAGTTCTTTGCTTGCACTGACATAAAGTACTTTGTTAAATACAAATAAAGATTGAAAAAAAATATGTAGATGTGACAGAGCTGCATAGGGACTGCTGTCAAACACTTCCCTGGGAGTAGAAGCAGGATCCTGTAAGGAAACCGAGCCACCTTGACATTGGAAAGTGGGGCTAGTGATGTCAGGGCAGGATAAAACTGGAGGAAA